GCCATGTTGGTGACAGAAAAATTCCAGAAGCAACACTTGAGTGGTATTTTTAATTAGGACCAAAGTAACACCAAACAACAAGCTTTCCAATCCCCCAGAGCTCATACAGCTTAATATTCATGACAAAAGTAATAGGCATGGGAGGGGAAAGGTATTGCAAGGCATTTAGAAGAGGAGGCTCTTTGTCTGCAGTTAGAAAAGTCATAAAATGGAGTCCAGGGTGTGTTTCAGTCTTAACTGGATTAGGTGGTGTTGTGTGCAAGTCTGGTTTCACCATGCATCAAGGATTATGAGAATTATCTCTTGCCTTTCCATCATCTAAGCCTTCAAGTGGCTTACAACATCCAGAAGATGGCTTGATGAAATTTCCCTCTTGTTTCACTCAGTATGGAGCTTTCAGCTAGGGATGGGCACAAACCAGGAAAATGCAGTTTGTTTTGTGGTTCGTGATATGCCCCATTAGTGAACCACAGACTGTCATAAATCTTCAACTGCCTCATGAACTGGTAGAATGCCTTCTCCCCAATGTGCTGTCATTTCCCCAGAAAACACTTTCCTGAGGATACCTTCTTGGGGAGGCATGCAACTCAGACCACGTAAATCCAAGCCACACCAAACTTGGAGGAGAGCTAGAGGAGAGTCAGTCAGAGATATACTGTGAGTTTGGTGCCTCTAGCTTACACAGGTTCTGTTCTATACACTCCTCAACCTCCTGAACCCATGCCTGTCAAAATGAATGAGATTCAGGAGTGAATAGAATGGATCCTGTGCAAGCTAGAGACATCAAAGTCACAGGAGACTTCCCCCCAGATGCTCCTCTACATGCCATAGGCGTAGAGTTCAGGGGGGCGCAGGGGCAGGGGCTACCTCCGAAATTTTCCGGGGGGGTCTCAGCCTCCCCCAGGGCTTGAAGAGAAGCCTTTTCATTCCGCCGTCCGTAGACCTGAGGGACCGCGATCCCTTCCCTGTGCCTATTCCTCACAGAGCCATCCGGAACCTCTTCTAGGGGACCGATCTGAGAAGGGGGGTGGTGGAAGGAGGGCCCAACTTTGGCACTGCTCAAAGGCGTGCACCGGCGCCTCCGGGAAGTCGGGAGCCTGAATCCACGTGGGTGGGTAGGGTGGGCATCCCGCCCCCGGCTTTCCGGCCAAAGATTCATCATGAACTGGTCCATGAGATGGTTTGCGCCTGTCCCTACTTCTGGGTGTCTCAGTAGCATTGATAGAGCACACAGGGTAGTAGTAGTACTTATATCAACAAAGTAAATAATGTTAGATGGTGCCATAAGAAAATGTCAGTAGAAGCTAAATTGGAAAGTTCGAAAGCAAGACATTGCAAGTAGATAAATAGGTACCGCTTCAGTGGGAAGGTAACAGTGTTCCGTGCACCTTGGTGTCTAGTCATGCCTGCCACATGAGCATGGTGAAGTCTTCAGACAGCGCTGGATCTTTGGCTTGGAAACAGAGATAAGCACCGCCCCCTAGAGTCAGATTCGACTAGCTTTTGAGAAAGGGAAACGTTTACCTTGCTTAGTAGTTGCGGGGGGGGGGAGTCATGCTTAGAAGCAAAGTCTCATTTGAGGATCATCTTGCTCCGCCTGGAGGGTCCTGGTCTTTGGTGGCTACATTGAGAAAATAGTGTTGAGCATGTGTTCGCTGCACAGTGTTGTGCACTTCCCTTAGGAAGATGGATTGCGTGGAAATCACCAAGGATAATTTTGAAGTTCTCACCTCTGCTGTGTCAGCCGAAACTCCCTGATCTGAGTCTTCTTCTCTCATGAGATACTTTAGTTTCATGCATCTTGGGGTCCCTTACATTGAAAATTTCCCATAAACTGTATTACATTTTGTGAGTCAGTAATTTATGAACACACGTGAAGTTGCCTTATACTGAATCAGACAGCCGGTCTAACAAGGTTATACAGTTTTAGAAATGCCATTCCTGGGAATCTTCAGGAATGACAGCTCATCTCTAGACTGCAGAGATCAGTGCCCCAGGAGAAAATAGATGCACTGGAGGGTGGAGTCTATGGCACAGTACCTGGTCACACCCAATTTCTAAAAACATTTGGCTTGGCAGCCACCATGGTTCCCATGGGCCCCATGGTGAGGATCCCTGAGCTATACCATGCCAGTTTCCCTCCCATCACATGCCACAGAGAGGTATCTACATAAAGTTGAGGTCTACTAGATGACCAAAAGCCAATTTGACCATGCCATCCTCATCCACAGTGCTGTTCCAACTACACCGTGTAAGGTGGGGAAAGATCTATTTCACCAAGGAGAATTCTGCAGGAATGGCTTCATTACCTGAATTGCTATGCAGAGGCCCCGGTCACACGGGAGGATTTGCCCCACGAAGTGGATGGGTTGAGGGCACATCAAACAGGCACGATCAGATGCCAACACCTGGCAAGCATCGCGCACCCACCCCCAACCCGTCTCTTCCAGCCAAAAACGTGGATCAAAAAGGTACTAGGGAAAATGTAGTACCTACTGGAAGATCCTCAGCAAGGCCGGGCATGGGATCGCAGATGTGCCGGCAGCCCATGTTATTTGAGGGACTGCCGGACTGCGCATGCGTGACTGCCGGACTGCGCATGCATGACTGCCAGACTGCACATGCGCAGGAATATTCCAGCAGCCTTGGCTCACCCATCATTGCCTTGCTTCTCCCGGCCATGTGATCGCACCAGACAGAATATGCGCGGCGGCTCAGGGGAAGCGTCTGATCCCGATGCTGCACTTCCCTTTGGTGCGGCTCTAAGACGCCGCACTTCCGGCATGGCTTTTCCCGCCGGTATGACCGGGACCAGAGAAAGGCAAATTGTGGATAATTTTATTTATTTGTTGATTTGTTTGTTTGTTTATGTTATTTTATTCGATTTGTATCCCGTCCTTCCTGCCAGAGCAGGCTCAGGCGGCTTACATTAAAAGATTAAAATACAATAAAACACACATTCCTGACATACAAACACCTCATAAAATTCATATACTTTACAGATACAATTCATAAGAACATAAGAGAAGTCAATGTTGGATCAGGCCACTGGCCCATCCAGTCCAACACTCTGTCACACAGTGGCCAAAAAGACCAGGTGCCATCAGGAGGTCCAGCAGTGGGGCCAGGACACTAGAAGCCCTCCCACTGTTGCCCCCCCCAAGCACCAAGAATACAGAGCATCACTTGCCCCAGCCCGAGACTTCCTCTCATAAATAAGTGCAATTAAAGTGCAGTGGCGGTAATTCTTGGGCCTGATGTTGCAGATGTAGCTGGAAGTATGGCCAACGGATGTTGTATGGCCAAAGGATGTTAAACCCATCCATGCTAAACCCATCCATCCTTAATTTTGGGAGGGAGACATTGCTGGACAAGGGACACCTGGGGAGTTGGAAATATTTTTATTTATTTATAGTTTGCCTTTGTCACATGGACACATAGTAAGCCAGTACAACCAACAAAATGGGATCTTCAATAACTAATGCATTACGATATTAGAAGACTGGAACCACCAAAAAGAACAGGAGCCTAGCATAAGTGTTAACATGACATATTAAGTGGTGCAGAAATGACATTATAGGATCCTGCTTAAAGGTAAAGGTAAAGGTAGGGAAACTCCTGGTGATTTGGAGATGGAGCCTGGGGAGGGCAGGGACCTCGGGGGGGGGGGTGTTATTTATTTAAAATATGTCTTTGCCTGTTTTTCTCCTGAGCACCTCAGGGCCTAGCATTGTACATTAGATGTATTTGCATAAATGGCATACACTGTGTTTATAAATATAGTACCAATCACACTTTAAGGACAGTATAACAGATGTACACAACACAAGCAAACCTACGAAAACTAACAGAGAAATGTGGAGAACTGAAACCATGGGCAGAACTATCAACAAACATAAAGACAAAATAAGGAACATTTGCTCATTTTAAGGAAAGTTAAAATGCCCTCCTGCTTACAATATACTATATACAGCAGAGAAGATCACAGGTCCTGATCCAAGTAGGTTTTTGAAACCATTTTGTACTGTGCAGGGGGCGTAAAGGGGGCAGGATCCTTGGCCTTCTCCCATATTTTTGTCCAGTTTGGCTCATACGCTTTCCCTCAGTGCTGCCGCTGATTTCGAATTCTTGGTCAATCTGTGCTATCCAAGTTCACTGTCAGGAATCCAGAAGCCTTTGTTTAAATCCCTTTCACAACTAGGCGGCGGCAGACTGAGAGCAACACACCCTCCAGCAGATTAATTGGGCTGGGTGGCTTTTGCAGACACCCCCTCCTTCCTTCTTGCCCCATCCTTGGAATATCACCCCCCCCCACCCCGGTAGAAGCTTAAGGTGAACCCAGTGCTCCAAAGGTGGCAACCCTCCACCCCCATTCCCAGCTTGTAGCCAGAGGGTACCTGGTAATCCTTCTCAGTGCTGTTTGCTCGGACTGTCAGCAGGCCTCCAGGGTCCCAAGCAGGGGTCTTTCCCATCACCTCCTGCCTGATTCTTTTAATTGGTGGCGCTACAGATTGAACTTGGGACTTTCCATGTGAGAAGCATGGGCTCCTCCCTTCCGTCCCTACCCTTTTACCCACCACCAACAGAATTCAACATACCATGTTTCGTGGAAGGTAAAGTAAATAAATGAATAACCCAGTAGATCTTGCTTCAGGAATCCTGGGGAAAGCTGTGGCAAACATTGGCAGGGCATTCTAGGCATTCTAATTAGCAAACCTACAAGAACACACAAGTGGCTTTTGGGATTCAAGATCCCTTGATAAAGCATATACTTTAACACTCAAATGATGTTGCAGTACATTAGCACTATAGGAATTATGGATTTCATTCATCCTCTTTGCAGTTAATTCCTGTGTGGGTGGCAGAGGCGCTTTTTTTTTTTTTTTAATTCCCTTGCAATCTCACTCACTGCTAATAAGGATGTCTTAAATTAGGCAGAACGTCAGTAGTTGATCGGGAAGGGACATCTGTGGTTCCTTTTTTTAAAAAAAGACAAGGGGATGGCTTTTGTTCTGACTCTGTGGACACTAGCATCATATATCTGTATCGCCTTGACATCTTGGCTTTTGGCATGGACAGTTTATTATGATTTCACTCGGACCCACATCCCTCCTGGAATAAAAGAGCATGCAAAACTACGAGTAGGTAATTTGCTGCTGAATTTTGCCTTTGGGTTGGTAAGTTCTGCCTGTTCTTTTTTGTTTGTTCTAAGGTATTGGGCGTGTTATTGGTTCTGTACACAGCTTGTGATGTGTTGTGGCTGTGGCTCAGTAGAAGAGTATGTGCATTGCCCGCACGCTCATGAGATGCTGCATCCTTACGAAGTATACTTGATGGGAAATATAAGAACATCCCTTAGGTGGAAAGGCTCCGTACCTGCCCACGCAGGGAGATAGAGGCTTTAGAACATATGTTCTTCAAATGCCCACACTATGAGGTGGTGCATAGAGAGGTTATCACCCCTCTGATAGGAAAAAATCTCGGGTCTGTCAGAAAAAAAACCCAAACTTGAATTTCTTCTAATTGACAAACATCCGAAGATCACTCATCAAGTAGCCAGGTTTTGTAAGGTGATACTCAGGTCACGGAAATTGCTTAGCGGCTAGATGCAAGTGTAACTTATGTACTAGTTTTGAACGTGTTTTATTTAGAAAGATTTTATTTTTATATCTTAAATTTTTATATTAGCTTTTAATTTTCTGGAATGCATTATCTGTAAGCCAGCCCCATAGCTAACAACTTGTTGCTCAGGGGGCCAATGTTTTGCTTGGGGGGGGGCTTATGGCGTGGTGATATTTAGGCCCTGGACTACATCTCTTTCAGTGCCTCCAGGACTCGTAGCACTGTGGTGGTCGCCTCCACCATCGCTGAGGAGTTATCAGAAGGAGAGCGCTTCTGAGCATTGGCCCGGAGGGAGGGAGTCCCTGCGTCACTTGGCCCCGGAGTTCACTGGAGCTGGGTGGGAAGGAGCTCTGTCCAGGGGCTCTGACGCAAAGTTCCCTGGAGCTCATTGAAGACCACAGCCCGCCCGGAGAGAAGGTGAAAGGGGGCTGTGCCTGGCATGCCTGTGCTTGTGGGGGTTTAGATGGGCACCCCCTTTGGCCACAGGCGAGCTGGGGGATTTGTGGAGCTGGCTTCCGAGCCAGGTGCTTAGGTTGCGGTGCCTCCTCCTCCTCCTCCTCGCGGGAGCCCAGCCAGCCATGGCAGGGAGACAGGCAGGCAGGGGCCCAGGAGGGAGGCGTGGTGGGCAGCAGGTGTCCCCACTCAGCAGCCCTCTCCTATGACCTCCCAACAGCAGCAAGGATGGCTGGGGCATCAACAGGCAGCACAGAGTCACTGGTTGCTGGGCTGAGGGCAGCGACAGCTGGGGGGGAGGGGAGGGAGAAGGAGCCGAGGATTGGAGAGGGGCCCATAAAAACCAGGGGGGCTGCATGGACCCCACGGTAGCTACGGGCCTGCTGTAAGCATATCTGGTCTAAGGATAGGGTTGCCAAGTCTTACCTGCTGTCGGAGCGGGGGACTCCTGGCTTCTTCCTGGACCGCGCGTGCACGCACAAAGCGCGCGCACACCGCGACCATGTCACCCGGAAGTGATGCAACCACGTCAACCGGAAGTGATGCGACCACGTCAACCGGAAGTGATGCGACCATGCCGGGCACGTTGGTGGCGGGGCCACGACCATCCGAGGGAAAACCATAGAGTTGTGCCCAGGTGACGTGCACATCGGGTGCTTTTGGGGTGGGATTCCCCCCCGGGGCCCGATCCGCCGCCGGCGGGGACCGGGCCTCTGGGGCGGGGGTTTCCCAACCCCCTGGGGGGCCTTGGCAAGCTTATCTAAGGACTGTAATAGAAGTAAACTAAACTAAACTCCATACGAAGCACACAGCTGCCGTGGGAAAACTTCATTTCCTAGAATCCCTGGTGTCTGGAATACTTCCCTTCTAGTGTTCAAAGCACTACGAAGCAGGAAAGAAGGCTTAGAGACAGAACTCCTGGAAGGCTAGCCTGCCAAGACCAACACCAGGGTAAATGATTAGAGAATTTATTTATTGTCTTTACTGTTTTTGCAACCGGAGTCATAAATAGCAAACCCTTGGCCCACAATAAATCTCGTTCCGCAGGAAAACATGGAAGAATTAAAGGTTGCTATTGCAAAAGTTGTCATGTGATTTGACAACAGCTGCTAGAAATTTTGCCACATGCAGGGTAGTTTGTTTAAATGATTAGGGGAGGGGATTGAGAACTGGGGGAGACATTCTGTCCCCATCAGAATTCTGACCCCATTTGAGGTCCAAATTTTGGAAACAGAAGCTGTGTTCCAGATTCCAGTGGAGCCCTGGGGCAATTTACGTCTGACTACTGTCTTACAAAATCACTGTTCTGTTTGCCTAACCCCCTTGTTCACATACAGCAGAAGAAATAGTACATTCTTATCTGTTCCAGCCATTCAAAAACAAAATGCCCTGGTTACCATGTAAGATCCTATTTTAAATTGATTTTAATAGGGAGTCACTCTGCATGGACAGGTGTGCTGACTGTTTGGGAGAAGGAAAGCCTTTTAAAAAATTTATCCTGGCAGGTCTGCCTTTTTCCATCTGAGACAGATCAGGCAGTTGGCCCCATGTCTCACCCCCCAGGATCTGGCTACATTGACCCATGCAATGGTCACAGCCAGATTGGATTATTGTAATTCTCTCTACATGGGGCTGCCCTTGACTCTGCTCCGGAAACTGCAGCTGGTGCAGAACGCCATGGCACAGGTGCTGACTTGGTAGTCTGTGCAGACACGGATCCACCCGGTGCTGCGCAAACTGCACTGGCTGTCTATTGAGTACCAGATCTGTTAAAAGGTGATGGTGCTTACCTTTAAAGCCCTATACGGCCAGGGGCCTACAGGCTTTACAATCTGTCAACCAGCATCTTCTGGTGGTCCCTGCCCCTAGGGACGTCTGTCTTGCCTTGACTAGGGCCAGGGCCTTTTCAGCCCAGGCCCCTACCTGGCTCTTCTGTCAGGCTTTTAAATAGGGTGACAGGCATCCCTTCCTCTCTATTGGGCCTTCCCTCAGTGGGTCAGAACTGCATTACCCCCTAAGGACCAAATCTTGAAAGAGATGACATCTGTGAGACTTTAACCTTAACTATAGCTTGCACCTGATGAATGACATCATTGTATTTTATTGGTGTTTTAACTGTTTTATTTTTTATATATTGTTTATCAGATTTGATGGGACCCACCCTGAGCCTGCTATGCAGGGAGGGCGGGATAAAAATCAAACAAAATAAATAAATAAACAAACAAAGGGGGTTTAAAAATAGTTTTGTGAAATGGTTAATTTACATCCCATTTCAGTAAATTCCAGGGCAATCCTAAGAACTGTTTCCAGGGAGTGAACCCTGTTGAATACACATGAGTTGGATTCTCTCCAACATTGATGAGTCCCTCGACATTTGCAAGTTCGTTTATTGCTGTGCTTAGAACAGGGGTGAGGCCACCTTCCCAGCACATGCAATGGCAGTGGCGCACCCCAAACTACTTTTCTTGGCACCTGGGCCCAGATATCCAGACAAGCAATCAAGGCACTGGTGGCGCCACTGGGACCAGCAGCACAGGCGAAGGCAACGAGCATTACTTAATGCTCATTTCCTATCCCTACTTCCAAGATCCACACCACCACTGGAGGAGTCCGAGGTGGATTCCTCTTTGTTTTAGTTGTTTACTTTGATGTTGGAAACATCCAGAGGTCGATTCGGGGGGATCGCGGGGGATCGCAGTTCCCCCGGGTGAGGTACTGGGGCGGGGCACATGACGAAGCCACACCCCTGCTTCCGGCTACCCCGCTTCCAGCCCTCATTCAGCCAGGAGGAGGCAGGAGAAGAGGGAGGGTAAGTTGCTTCCTCCCCGCCTCTCCCCACCCCTGCCTGCCTGGGGCCAGGGAGGGCCTTGGCGGGGCTTCCTCGCACTCCCGCCGGCCTTACAGGTCCACCACCGGGCCCCTGATGTCAGGGTGTGTGGCATATGCTAATGAGTTATGCTAATGAGTTCCCCTAGCTCTTTTTCTACGAAACGACCCCTGGAAACATCAGTGAGGTGCATTTGGCTAACCCTCCTTCCTCCCTTTTGTCTGTCAGTATATCAAGATCTTCATTAGTAGATGTTGCACGGGGTTTTTTTAGAGTGCCTTTTCCCTCATTGGCTGTCAGAGTGCGTTTTCCTCACACGTTTATGGTTGCTGTTAATTCCTGTTTTTCACCCTCCTGCATCTAACCTGAAGTTTTCTGCTCACCTTTTAAATGTCAAATCAGCTACTGTCCATTCCACTGTGTCTTACTTGCCCCTTGCCCTTTCTCGCACTCTTCTTTTTGAACTGTCCGCTTGTTCTTCTCCTGCTGCTGCTGTTGTTGTTTTTACATGTGGACTGGGAAAGGAATGAAAAGGAGACACACAAGCCTGAGGTAAGCTCAGGACCTCAGGTTGTTAAAGTTCATGGTGTAATTATCCATCCCTCAGCATTAGGTAACTCTGTGTGTGTGCAGTCTTGTGCATACTTGCATGGGAGTAAATACCATTGCATTCAGTGAGATTTGCTTCTGCATCAATATGCATCGACTCACATAACTAAGTACGATCCTACGCAGAGTTCAACGCTTCTAAGCCTGTCGAGTCCAGGGGACACTGGAGGCTGTAATTCTATACTTCAATATTCTTAATGTATTTAGGATATTTTGCTGTGCTGCCTCTTCAGCTTGAGGTGGCTTACAACTTAAATCACAACAATTAGGGTTGCCAAGTCCATCTTCCACCCCCAGTGGGGGGCTTTGGGGGCGTTCCTGGAGGGGGCGGGGCATCCCTGATGTGATGATATCACTTTGGGGACATCCGCCGCCCCCACCCGCCCGCGTGCCGGGTCTCCAGAAATGCCAGTTCCCTGCACTTAAAGGAGCCGGTGTTTCCCTTTTAAGTGCAGGAGCCGGCGTTTCCCCTTTAAGAGCAAAGAGCCACCTTTCCCTTTTAAGTGCACAAAGTTGGCATTTCCCTGCAAGCCTGATCTCAAGCAGGCAGCCTCCCCTCCCCTGTGGGTGTTGGGGGCGGGGGCAGGGCCTCCCCAAGTCACCTTGCCAAGCAGGATCTATTACCTTTCTGCAGGACCCGTAAGGCAGAGATGTTCTGCCAGGCTT